TGCTCAAACTCGAACTTGCCGACACGCTCATCATCTCGATCATCTACAAAGTTGTGCATGTACATGAGCGCACGAAGCCGAGCCTTTGCCAAACCCTTAGTGCCGATGTCAGCCAAGTTCGTGGCCGTCGGTACTGAAAGTATGGCAAAAATGCCACGCTTCACATAATCTTGAATCCACAAAAGTCGTCCGGCAATGTGCTTGGCCTGCTTCGCGGCCCCTTGCCGCTTAGCCAATGCTCGAGCAGACTGGTTATCCAGTAGCACATGCATCTGGGCCGATTGCCCCGAAATGAACTCCCAAACTTCACGAATGAATAGCGCATCGCAGCATCCAGAGACACATGCGTACCACTCACTCTCCATCGATGACAGCGACACAGAGCGCTGCGTCCTCGTGGCAAAGTAAACCACAGCACCGTTAATGCAGTGAGTAGAAGAACCAATTGATTTACGATCGGCCTTGCTCCCAGACCAGTCCGCGTCTGTGTAGCACTCCAAAAGGTCACCTCCAGGCACAACAGCACCATGAAGTATCGAAGATCCGGGTTCACCCGGCTCGAGATGAAGAGCATATGAGGCTGTGGCCAAAAGGTACTGTGTTAAGCGTATGGCCGCACGCCATGCCAAAGCAGTGGGGCTCGCCATCACTGAAGAAAGTTTGCGGACACTGTGTGCAATGTCTGGCCGGTCGGCTGACACATAGAGCGCAATGCCAACCACTGATCTGTACTTGGATGCTTGCTGCTCTGACAAAGCATGCGATGTGTCATGGCCACTGAACTCCGCAAGGTCTGGAGTTTGAGCCGTGCCACCACGAATTTCAAGGATCTTTGCCATGCTCTTGGCGTAATGGTCACTGATTGCAATCTTCATGCCGGTCTCTGTCAATGTGTGAACTCGCTTGAGAAAACTGATTTGATCACCGACACGATAAGCTATCTCCACTGTGGCCTGGAATCGTGACTTGATCAGCGGTACCAGGGACTCATGCAACCATGTCAAAGGACACAAAATCAAATTATCATCCACGTGTAGCATCAAAGGACCTTCCTTAGTTTTCATGACCGCTGGGCTCACAGTGCACGTCTCCAAGGGAAGTCGGTCCCGAAGGAAATTGACATAGAAATCAAACCACCGTTGTGCTCCATCTCGTTGACCGGGAATGCACTTAAGGAAGATATACCGACCTGAACCGGAG